GGGAGAAAGTTTGAGACCAGTCTGTGCAAGGCCTGTGGTAGGAGGGAGCATGATGCTTTCCAAGAACTGAAGTGGTGATGCTGAGAGTGAGGAGAGAGTCGTGGGAGATGGAAGAGGGTGGATGGTGTGCTGAGATCCCTCTGGCTCCTGTGTAGAAAAGAGTTGGGATTGGAAGACCAAGTAAACAGAGACTAGTGAGGAGGCCATGGTAGTGTTCACATAAGAGATGATATGATGGTGGCCAGGATGGGAAGAGGCAAATGAATGTGAGGGATAGGCAGGAGGCCAGACTGACAACACTACCTGTGGCCTGGCCGTGGGGGTATGACAGAAGGGGTCAGGGCAGCTCCTAGCTGCCAGACTTGCCCACTTGGATTGTCTACTGTGCTCATCAAAGAGGGAGGGAACACAGAATGCACCTGGCAGGTTGAGTTGTGAAAGGACATAACTTGGAGTCAGTACCACCAATGAGTAGCCATTTTAACATTGCTAAACTTTGTCATGTTTTTCTAGCAGTTTGCTTTAATTTACCCTCTAGTCACTAGCCAAGAACAGAACTGGTTTCTCAGAGGTAGCTATTGGTAATTGCTTTACAGCTCCTCCCCAGCTTGTTTTGTAAACAAGTTAACCTAATCAGCTCTTCAAAACCTTCATGACGGCAGCAGTCATGTGACTGACCCACCCATCTGCCTGCTGTCCATCACCTGACATCAGTACCTGTGCCTGCCTGTTCCCTCCTTGATGAGGATCAGACCACCTACCTAATCACCTTAACAACCTTCCCTCATCAAAGGAAAGGTTTAAAAGGATTCAACTTCTAGTCCAATAGTCTGGCCACATGGCTCCTTGTGCTATGGCCGCCACATTTCCTAGTTTTGGCCCCATCTCCTACCTTGGAGAAGTGAATCTCCCTCTCTTCTCTAATTTACTTTCTAAGTAAACTACATTTTCCTATCTAACTTCTGTGCAATTCTTTGCATCTTTCATGCGGCAGTGAAGCTGGAAGCCATGCCTGCGAAGAGGGAGTGAGCATGGGGTGGGAAGAAAGAGGGTCTAAGAATGAGCCCTGACAGACTCACTGTTGGGGGAGGAGGAAAAACCCACAAAGGTACTGGAGTAGGAGCAATGGGAGGTAAAAGGAAATCAAAGTACAGCATTATACTGGCAGAGTGCGCATGGCTTCAGAACTAGCGAGTGGTCATCAGTGTCCCTGATGCTTGGTGGTTGAGGGAGGCGAGGGGAATTAAGAAGGTGAAGGAAAGGCTGGGTGTGGTGGCTCACACCTGTAATACCAGCAATTGGGGATGCAAAAGTGGGAGGATTGATTGAGGCCAGGAGTTCGAGACCAGCTTGGGCAATATAGTGAGACATTCTCTCTACAAAAAAAAAAATCCGCAAAATGTAACTGGGCATGGTAGCACATGTCTGTAGACCCAGCTACTTGGGACGCTGAGGCTGGAGGACTGCCTGAGTCAAGGGGGTTGAGGTTGTGGTAAGCTGTGATTGTGCCATTGCACTCCAGCCTGGGTGACAGAGTGAGACTCTGACCTTCCAAAAAGGTGAGGGAAGGTAGTCCTTTCAAGAATCTAGCTATGTAGCAGGTGGAAGGCACGGATATGGCTGGGTATAGATAGGGTCAGTTGCCTCATGACCTTTTCTTGAACTGTGGAGACTTCCTAAACTACTGACCTGCATACGTTCCGAGGATAGACATGAACTGAAGGGTGTGGGGTGTGGCCAGTTTAAAACAGCAGTAAAGAGCAACTCTGCTTTAATCAGCAGGGTGTCATCTCAGGCCAGTGGTCCATGTTACCAGTCCTCAAGCAGCATTTGCTTTCACCTTAGGAACTCATATTACCTTTTAATGGCTTTGCCCTTTTTCATCTCAGGAGAGGTAGAATTCCATTATTTCCACCCCCTCCCTCCCTAGGAGGGAGAAGGAATGGCCAATTTCAAGTAAAGAAAGCACAGAAAGGTATTTTTTAGAAGACCCTGGGTTTTTTTTGTTTTTGTTTTTGAGTCGGAGTCCCGCTCTGTTGCCCAGGCTGGAGTTCAATGGCACACTCACGGTCACCGCAGTCTCGACCTACCGGGCTCAGGTGATACTTCTGCCTCAGCTTTCCAAGTAGCTGGAACCACAGGTATGTGCCATCATGCCCGACTAATTTTTTTGATTTATTATAGAGATGAGGTCTCACCATGTTGCTCAGGGCTGGTCTCGAATCCCTGAATTCAGGCAATTTTCTAGCCTCCGCCTCCCAAAGTGCTGGGATTACAGGCTTGAGCCACTGTGCCCGGTGCATGAAGACCCTGTTAATATTCTCCCCTACTCCCTAGCCTCCCCTTCACAAACTTCTCAAAAGAATTGTCTACACTGCCTCAACTGTCACCACTAATGTACCTTCCCTTTCATGGACACTGGTCTCCTCAAAGTCACCAATAACCAATAAACCTCTAGTCCCCTACCCACTACATAGCTAGATTGTTGAAAGGACTGTCTTCCCTCCCCTTCTTTTTGAGTCAAGTTCTCACTCTCTCACCCAGCCTGGAGTGCAGTGGCACAATCACAGCTCACCATAACCTCGACCTCTTGGGCTCAGGTGGTCCTTCTGCCTCAGCTTTCCAAGGCTGAGCCAAGGTCCATTGTGAACTTATGGCTGAATTTGACTCCTGATGACTTCCTTTTAAAAACTCTCTCTCCAGTCTGCACCCATGGCCCATTCTGCTGGTTTTCTCTGTTAATTAAAAATTATTCAGACTTTGGAAACAGGAAGAAGGACCACACCGATGTCTTCTCAGTGCAGTGCCAGGTGTTATCCAACATTTGTATTCTGCCTGGGGAATCGTTTGATCCCCTAGGGATGTGTAGCTTTGTTTGCTTCTTTACTATTGGTAGGGGTTTTTTACAACTCTGTGAGCGTAGAGGTCACTTTATGGAAAATTCATAACAAGCAAATAATTCTTATCCAAGAGTAATGCAAATGTCTTCTGTCTGGTGGAAAAGGGAACCCCAAAGTTTACAGCTTCTTGTCTTATAGGGCATTAACCTGTCTGTCAACCCCACTTCAGCATCCCTTTGATCAACCAACTCTATATTCATTCTCAAACTCTCTTTTGAACTAGCCCTAATACCTTATTGGTTTCCTCATCGTTAATGAATAAAGCTTTGGTGTATGTTCATTTTATATTTGTCTGAGAGTCATTTTTTAAAACTTTTTGAAAATTATTTTGCTGGGCGTGATGGCTCACGCCTATAATCCCAGCACTTTGGGAGGTGGAGGCGAGAGGATCGTCTGAATCCAGGGGTTCGAGACCACTCTGGACAACTTGGCAAGACCTTGTCTCTACAATAAACCAAAATAAAACAAACAAAAATTAGTCGGGCGTGGTGGTGTACACCTGTAGTTCCAGCTACTTAGAAGGCTGAGGAGGATCGCTTGAGCCCAGCAGGTTGAGTCTGTGGTGGCTGTGAGCACGCCACTGCACTCCAGCCTAGGTGAGAGTACGACTCGAACTCAAAAAAAAAAAAGAAAAGAAAAGTATTCTTTGTCATCTTCCTAAGTTCTCTGTGGCTCCACCTCAGCAGACTGCACTGCAGCCAGGAATCAGGGATGGGAGGATGATGAGTTAGGTGACCAAAAAGGGAAAGGTACAGAGGGCTTTTCTGATAGGCGCTTAGGAGTCTTGGTGTTTGCCTGATGCCCAGGCTTGCCCTAGACTTCTACTTCACCTGGCAGCTAGAGCTCTGCCACGGAGCTGGTTCCACTGAACTGCATTTATGCAATGCTGAGACTTCACTGAACTGAATCTTCAAGCATAAGGCTCCTACACAGCCGGAAGAGAGGCCTTCCCAGTCTTCTCTGTTGACCTCCTGGTATCCATGGCTGAAAAGGGATTGCTTATTCCTCTCCTATCCCCCAACCCAGCAGGGTTAGTAATGGTGGACCTGAGACTGTCACCCACAGCTGGCCACCCCAAGTACACGCTTTCTTGGAAATTTCTGTTAAAATGTTCACAAAAACATTCTATGCATTCAACTCAGTTTTTAAAAACTACCTTGTGTTCCATTCATCAAGTAAAACCAGTTCTCTAAAAAGCTCTGTTTCTCCTGTGGTTTAGTCCAAATCTAAGAAAAATTTAAGGATACCACATCCCTCTGTTGAAACCTGTATCTGCATATCTTATTTAACCCTCACAACCTCTTTTGGGGATGGGCAATACTGTTCCACTTCCAGAGTGGAGCCCTCTGGAAGTCTAGACACCCTCCTGTTCTCCAGGGTTTTGTTAGACATAGCTAAGGAAACCATGCTCACAGGTCTACAGTGGGTGGCATCTTCAAGAGTCAGGAAATTGGGGCCAAGCTCTGGCCTTTGGACAGGTCACTATCCTCTTGGATTCTTGATTTTTGTGTATGTAACATAGGCCAATTTTTGGGAGACTCTAAAGAGTCGAATGTTGGCAAGTAAGTAACTTTGTAAACCTACAGATTGCCCAGAGATGATGTACCAAGGCTCATTTGGGGCTCTGGAGCCATACTACTTAAGTTTAGATTCAAGTTTTATCCTTTAAGTAGCCTGTCATCTTGGGTAAATTCTACGCCTCAGTTTCCTCACATATAAAATGGGTAAATAACAGGACCTACTTAATAGCGTTGTTATAAGGATTCAAGCGCTTGGAAGTGTCTGGCCCATAGTAGTGATCGCCCAGTAAAGCAACCTTTTACTAGCCCTCGAGGCATAGCTATTTTGCAACCCCTGACTACACCGATGTCCTTCTAGACCTGGTCACTTGCAGCAGGCCCGCCCCCGTTCCTGCTCGGTCCCGCCTTCTCCTGGTGTGGTGCGCTGCAGCCGGCCCCGGGTTCCTCCAGCCACCAGGGGGCGGCGGCGCTGAGATAGGCCTTCTGGCCGAAGGAGGTGGCGCTCTAGGTAGCGGCAGCAGCGCCTCCGTGGCCGGTGGCGGCGGCGCTCTAGCTGGCGGGCGTACGGGGCGGGCTCTCAGTGGTGCGGCCGGCAGGCAGCGATGGCGGCCGTACGGGGCCTGCGGGTGTCGGTGAAGGCGGAGGCCCCGGCGGGGCCTGCCCTGGGTCTCCCGTCACCTGAGGCAGAATCTGGTTTGGACCGTGGCGAGCCGGAGCCTATGGAGGTGGAGGAGGGCGAGCTGGAGATCGTACCGGTGCGGCGCTCGTTGAAGGAACTGATCCCGGTACTGCGGGGGCCCGGGACAAGGAGGAGGTCGCCGTGAGAGTGCAGGCGCCAGAGGGGGCCGGAAGGGGAAGCGGCCGGAGCCCTGGCCGGGGAAGTCGGGGGAAGGGGAGAGAGCGGTGCAAGCGTCCGGGGGGCGGGGGCGCCCGGCTTGAGAAGAGGCGGCGGGCTGGAGAAAGGACGCCTGGGCGCCGGAAGTAGGTGTGGAGGGGGCTGGAGGAGGTGGGGGAAAGCTGGGCGATAGTTGAGGACGCCCCCTCCGCTGCCCCTCGAGCCGTGCTGTGCAAGCGAGTGAGTGAAGAGGGGCTGGAGTTGAGATAAAGGGCGAGTTCTGGGCGGGAACGGAACCAGGAGGCGCAGAGGAGCTGTTGGGTGGCGCCAGCATCGAGGTCTCCTTGTGGTCTTGCCCCGGAGTTGATGTCTGTTAAACATGGCACTCGCCCTTTCTGTTGGGAGGGCTGCACTTGTCAGCGGCAGAAACTACTGTTTCTGTTGTGACTTGAGGGTCATCTTGCCCCTGCGCATCTCCACAGCATCTTCATCGTGGCCCCAGCATCTGACCCTTAAAGAAGCCAGTATATAAGGACCAGCAGTGGCCCTTGGTCCCTCTTTTACCATAGTGGAGATGGTGAGAGGTGTTTTGCTTGTGGTTTGGTAATCACATGTCCAGTTCTCAGAGCCGTTCTCAGACCTGGATGGCTCCTCTCGTGTATTCAATTTCTCACCTAACATGAACGACTTTTTCCATGTCAACAAGTTTTTACTTTTAAACCAAAGTTAGGGGGAAAAGGTTAAGGTACTAGAGAAGGAGAAGGTAACGACTATGGTTAACACAGTTAGCGTAGTAGCATTTTACCATTTACTGCATTGTATCGTTTGGTGCTTACCTCTATCTAGTTCCACTTCCTCAGTAGTCAGGAGGATCTCTTGAACCCAGAGTTGGAGACCAGCCTAGGCAACATAGGGAGGCCCTGTCTCAAAAACAAGACAAAAACAAACTAAACATTACTGTAGGTGTGTAGTAGGTATTGTCATCACTCATTCATTCAGTTCAACACATCCTCAGTACTTGATCAAGATCAAACTCCCTCCTGGAGTTTATGATGCATTTGGGGACTCAAGTGACTGAATAAATAATTTCCGTTAGTGTTAAGTACTGTAAAAAAAAATAAAGCATGTTAATGGGATAGAGAGTGCAAGAGAAGGGTAATGAGCAGGGTGGACAGGGTGTGCAGAGTGGGAAGCAGAATATGATAGGATGATCAGGGAAGTTCTCTGAGAAAAGTGGTGTATAAGCTGAGCCTTAAATGACAAAAAGGAGCCAACCAATTGCAGATTGAGAATGTTCCCAGCTGGGGCAATAACCAGAGCAAAGACTCCGAGATGGGAACAAGATTGTTTTGATGGAGAAGTGGAAAGTTCTATAGCACAAATGGAAGAGCAATAAAAGAAGTCAAGAAGGTAGTCCGATACTACGGATAATACTGAGGCCCAGAGAGGTCAAAGAAGTTATACGATGTCCTGTCATTAGTGAATGTCAGAGTTGAGACTTTAGCTTTCACTCAGCTTCTAAATCCCATTTTCTTTTCATTGCACTGTGCTGTGTTTTCCTAGGAGTTCTAGGGGAGTCTGGGCTTTTTGAATTTTGATGGAGGGTCGTGTTCCACTTTATGGCCTGGCGTGGGAATTTATTCAGTTTGAGTTGGGGAGTTAAGTGACTGTGCCTCATCTTTGACATTTTTCATGAAAGCCTTTAGATTTGCTTTATGTGGATACTTTCAGTTGATGAAATTATTTAAGTTTTTGAACAGGTTCCGATCTGGACTTTGTTGGAGTGGTTGATTGATACCATGGTGTCACTGGAATGGGCTACTTCTTAATAAAAGTTTATCAGGAATGGGGAAGGGTTGTTGAAATGAATGACTATTCAAAAAGAACCAGTTGTCAGGCTGTCTTTTTTTTTTTTTTTGAGTTGGAGTCTCACTCTGTTGCCCAGACTGGAGTGCAGTGGCCGCTCCCGGCCACTGCAGCCTCAACCTGCTGGGCTCCGGCGTTCCTTCCGCCTCAGCCCTCTGAGAAGCCAGAATTACAGGCATGCGCTACCACGCCCGGCTGATTTTTTAATTTGTTATAGAGATGAGGTCTCGCCAAGTTGCCCAGGCGGGTCTCGAACCCGCGGGCTCAGGCAATCCACTCACCTCAGCCTCCCAAAGCGCGGGATTACAGGCTGAGCCACCGAGCCTGGCTGTCAGGCTGTCTTTTATTGTGGGTTTTTTCTCAGCTGCTGTCAAAATTTCTCACTCTTGCCCTTTGTGTTAGGACACAAGCAGAAGATATGAAAACAAAGCTGGCAGCTTCATCACTGGAATTGATGTCACCTCCAAGGTAAGATAGACCATGATTTATTTATTTATTTAGTTTGATAAGCAGGTGAATTAATGAACTTGTTCCCCTGGAGTTAAAGAACAGTAAATATCTTTTACTTCCTTTTTCTTTTGTTACTGGATTTAAAAAAAAAATTTTTTTTTTAAGTTTTGTTATACAATGATGCCTTTCATACGTCCTGAAAACATTCAGGTGACATTTGTGAGTTCTTAAATCCACAAAAAGATACAATCAGTTTACCTAGATGCCCATGTTTAACCATTTCCAAGACAAGTTCTGTACTAGGGCTGGGCGTGGTGGCTCACACCTGTAATCTCAGCACTTTGAGAGGCGGAGATGAGAGGATTGCCTGAACGCAGGGGTTCGAGACCACCCTGGGCACCATGTCGAGGCCTCATGTCTACAATAAATCAAAAATTAGCCAGCGCGTGTTAATGTGCCTGTAGTTCCAGTTACTTGGAAGGCTGAGGCAGAAGGTTGGCCTGAGCCCAGTAGGTCGAGGCTGTGGCGACCATGAGTGTACCACTGTACTCCAGCCTGGGTGACAGAGTGAGACTCCAACTAAAAAGAAAAAAAATGTGTACTGTTTCCACTTTAAAGAAAACAAAATATGAAAAGTGCCTGGAACGTGATAGGTCCTTAGTAAATGTTTTTATTCCTTATTGGTTGTGGATGTATAAAAATAGTGTTTCCTGACTAGTTGTCTAAACTTTGAAGGCCAAGTCAATTGAATTCCCAATACCCAAGAGTATTGCCTTTTATCTAGTGTTTGCTATTACCAGAATACCATCTTCATTGTAATACCTTATAGAGTCAAACTTACTATTGTACTGATTATAAACTGTCAATGCATATATCTTACTTTAATCAGTGATGTCCAGAAAATCAGATCTTTCTGATTTTAATGTGTGCAATTAAGTTTGGAACAGAATTTTGGATTACAGTTCTGAATAATAGTATATATTGTTATATTGGATGCAAAAAAGCAAAATAAAAATAAATATATCATGTTTACCTTTTTATAGTTTATCTGTGTCTCAGATTATTTAAAGGTCGAAATAAAGAGAATTGGTCATTTTTAGACAGACAAGAAAATAGAATAAAGTAAAAATAATGTTTTCTTACTGTAATTGAAAAAGAACTAGATTATCCTTTTTTTTTTTTGAGACACAGTCTCACTTTGTTGCTCAGGTTGGAGTACAGTGGCATGATCATAGCTCACCACGGCCTCCAACTTCTGGGCTCAGGCAGTCCTCCTACCTCAGTCTCCTAAGTAGCTGGGATTACAGGCAGGCACTACCATATGAGGCTAATTTTTTTTTTTTTTTTGAGTGGGAGTCTCACTCTGTTGACCAGGCTGGAGTGCAGTGGCATGCTCATGGCCACTGCAGCCATGACCTGCTGGGCTTAGGCGATTCTTCCACCTCAGCCTTACAAATAGCTGGAACTGCAGGCATGTGCCACCACACCTGGCTAATTTTTAAAAAAAATTTATTGTGGAGACGAGGTCTTGCCAAGTTGCCCAGACTGGTCTCGAACTCATAGGTTTAGGCAATCCTTTGCCTCAGCCTCCCAAAGTGCTGGGATTACAGGCATGAGCCACCACACCCAGCTCCAGCTAATTTTTAAATTATTTTTTGTAGAGATAAGAGCATGCTATGTTGCCCAGGCAGGTCTCAAACTCCTGGATTCAAGCAATCTTTCTGCCTCGACCTCTCAAAGTGCTCAGATCACTAGTGTGAGCCACTGCACCTGGCCAAAATAGATTATTCTTAATCCTACACAGTTTGCAATTATGTGAGACAGGTATATGGGGGAAAGGGTGATAGTACCCAGTGTTAGTACTGAAATTGTTACTAAAGGAAGGTAGATTGTTGTTTGTATTGGGAAGACTTCAGTGAAGAAAATTAGCATAACTATTGGGAAATAACAGAAGTGTTGCTGCTTTACCAGTTCCCACAAGTTTTTAATAAACCTTCAATTAGTGTGGCAAAGTCAATATTCAATTAGTGAAGGGCTCCTAAGAGCCATCAGAAGCCTGCAGTTGGACCTGAGCTTTTGGAAGAACCATACAAAGCTGATTATTTTTTCTTTGAAGTGGCAATGCTTCTTATCACTTAAAGATGAAAACTGGCAGTTCTATGGACACAAGACTGGAACAGAAGAGAGAGTTTCTTTGCTTCAGTGTTATTTTTAAATAGGGAACTAGCTTTAGGGAGTGGACTGCTCAGTCAGACATAATGTGAAAGAATGTGATAGGTGTGATTACCATTTCACAGACAATGTGAAATGGTAGTTATAGGAAGGCTCCTAGAAATAGCACTGGAATCAGAAGATTTGCCACCGTATAAGCCAAAGTACCTCTAGCACTTTTTGCTTTTGGTTCCTCAAGTTCTGTACCTAGAAAATCGGGATGTTGAGATTATTTAGTTATAATTTATTGGCATGATTGCTAATAAATGAAATGTCAGAGAAATTTGTAAACTGTAAAGCACTATTCATTTAGTCAACAAATACTAATTGAGTTTATACTACGTCCCAGGCACAGTGATAGGCTGTGATAAGAGGTGATTACAAATTATGATGTAGCTGAGGCGAGTGGATTGTCTGAGCCTGTGGGTTCGAGACCAACCTGGGCAACTTGACGAGACCTCGTCTCTACAATAAATCAAAAATTAGCTGGGCGGGTAGCACGCACCTGTAATTCCGGCTACTTGGAAGGCTGAGGAGGAAGAACTGCCAGAGCCCAGCAGGTTGACACTGGGGTGGGCTGTGAGTGTGCCACTGCACTCCAACCTGGGCAACAGAGTGAGATTCCAACTAAAAAAAAAAAAATTATAGTATACACCCTCCTAGTCTTTGAATATGAATGTCCAGTTCTCTGCAAAACTACTCATGGCACAATATTGCTTATTTCTTCCTATTTATTTTAGGATTGTCATTGATGCATCATGTTGTGCTGTGATTTAACTTTTCTGCTCTATATTTTACATCTTTTACTTTTTCTATACTTTCTAGGAAGCAATTGAAAAGAAAGAACAGCGAGCCAAGCGCTTTCATTTTCGATCAGAAGTAAATCTTGCCCAGAGAAATGTAGCCTTGGACCGAGACATGATGAAGAAAGGTACAGGGTGTTTGGGGAGAATTTTTCCATCTTTTCCCATAGAGTTACTTTTCCCTGCCATCGACTTGCCTTGCCTGTCTATTCCTTATCCAAATACTACTGAAGGAAAGGATTTGTGAAGTCTCCATTTTTGAGATCACCTGTTTAAAGTTGAGATGCTGTCAGCTGACTCAGATATTAGAGCTGGAAAAAAAGAATTGTCTTATCTGAGGAGGTCCAGAGGAAGTCACGAACATATGCTTCTAAAGACCCTTACTCATTTTCTGCTTTTGTCATAGAGATGTTAACTTTTCTTTACCTTTAAAATGTAGTAAAAGTGTATCACAGTAAGACCTTCCTTTAGGGGAGTTGGAACAGTTTTGAGATTGGTTGGGGAAAGCTGTTAACACTTCTGTTGATAATCTGAATCTGTTGCTAATCTGAATATGTGACAAATATAAACCACCCAGTAACGTACTATTGTCAGAGAAAATGAAACTAATCCTGCCCTGAATTTTAAACCTGCTCTTAAAATTGAACTTCTGATTTTATTTTTGTGTTTTGTTAGGGTTAAGTATTTTGCTCCCTAGAACTCACCCTGGATTATTAAATATAATAATCAGTTCCAGTATTCTAAAGCAATTTATAAATAAAAGGAAAAATTATTACTTTCTTAGTGAGTTTACATTTCTACTTATTATTCAATTTTAATATAAATTCATGAATGCAAAAGACCTCCCTCTGTTGTTGAGTGTTTCTAAAGAGCTTAGTAGGCAGCTCTTTGAATGCATGGTAAAGGTCTGTGCTGTGCTGTGCTGTGTGAGCTTTTCTAGCCTTGGGTTTGGTTGCTAAAAGCAGAAGTTCAGTAAACATGTTGAATGAGTGAAAGAATAGCTTCTATTTGTTGGGAACTTGCTTTTTTACCAGACACTGTGTTAAGCACATGTGTATTTTTTCCTTTGTTTTTCACAACGATCCTATGAGGAATATATTTTTATCTCTATTTTATATAGGAGGAAACAGACTCAAAGAAGTTTGGTAAATTGCCCAGGGTTATGTAGCTAGTAAAGTTGGAGTCGAGATTCAAACCCAGATTTATGTGACTCTAAAGCCTTGTGTGTAACTACTTTGCTCTATTGCTGTGTAATATGTGATATGATACTACTGACGCAAACTGTGTCCCTCCTCAATTCTAGTTGGCAGAGTAGCTTGGATGCAGAGTTCAACTCTGGAAGCTGCTTTACTCTTTTATTCTGCATCATGAGTTCAAGTCAGAAATATGACCTTGCTTCCCTCGTAGTCTAGAGTTCCAGGTGTCTGTTTGAGTTGAGATGCTGTCAGCAGACTCAGATGTTAGAGCTGGAATAAAGAGACTGTCTTTTCTGACGAGGTCCAGAGGAAATCACCAGTCAGTGGTAGAGCTCACATTGGAATCTGTGCTTCTAAAGACCCTTACTCTTTTTTTTTTTTTTCCAGGAAAAGTCCTGCGAAGGCCAAGGACAGCTGTGTAGCTTGACATTAATGTGCCTACATAGTTTGGGCCAAAGCAGACCTCTCACAATTCTACCATAATTTTACTACACTTGTTAACTTGGTCCTAAGGACATTGCTTGAGACAGCTGCCTCTGATATAGTTCATGCCTTTCACTCTGCTCATTTGCTTTGTCCTATGCTTCATCTGATCAGGTGTCACTTCCTCTATGAAGCATCTCTGATCACCCACTCAAAATTCTTTCTCACCTCTGTTGAATCTCTTTAGGGTGCCAAAGTCTTCTGGAATCTAATCTTGGTTCCTTTGTGACTGTAGGCAAGTTATTGAGCATTTTTAAGTCTCGGTCTCCTAGTCTGTAAAATGAGAAAATGATACCTACTTTAATAGGACCACTTTTGGGGTTAAGTTTTAAATTAAAAAAAATTTTTGTTTTGAAATGAAACTCTTATCTCATGATTCTAAAGATATTTCTAAAAAAGGCAGTAGGCCTGCCCTGATATGTCAGCCGGGGAAGGTTGTCTATTTGAACCTATTCTCATCCAGGAGGCAGCATGGCCTAGGATAGTGTTCCTAAACCCTGGGGAACCCTCTGCTCATCTCAGATCAATTTAAATTAGGATTAAGGGTGTGGTAGGATTGGATAGGTCCCAGAAATAGTTATTGTTTTTATGTCTCCCCAGGTAATTTTAATGTGCAGCATGTATTAAGAACCATTGGTTTTGTGGTTATAAGCATAGGTTCTGGAGCCAAGTACCTGGATTAAAATCCTGACCTGTTACTTTCTAGCTCTGTGACCTTGGGCAAGTTACTTAACCTCTACGAACTTCAGATTTCTTATCTGAAAAGGCAAATAACAGGAATTCTTACAGAGTTGTTGGGAAACTCTATTGAAATGTTACAGTTCTTTTTTTTTGAGTTGGAGTCTCACTCCGTCGCCCAGAGGGGAGTGCAGTGGCACGCTCCCGGCCACCGCAGTCTCGACCTGCTGGGCTCCATAATCCTTCCGCCTCAGCCTTCCAAGTAGCTGGAACTACAGGCCTGCGCTACCACGCCCAGCTAATTTTTTTGATTTATTGTAGAGATGAGGTCTCACCAAGTTGCCCGAGCGGGTCTCAAACTCACAGGCTCAGGCAATCCACTCACCTCGGCCTCCCAAAGCGCTGGGATTATAGGCTGAGCTACCAAACCCGGCCGAAGTGTTATAGTGGTGCCTGGTACATAGTAGGTACCCAATAAATGTTAGTTATTATCATTATCTGGTGTTCTCCATCTTCCAAGCAGCCATTTCAGTGACCTGGCCTCTTGGTAGAATGGGGAAATTGGAATAAGCATATTGACTCCTATATCTGTACCAGGTGTCAAGTTATTTTTTCCTCTTATCATTAATGCCAACAATAATAACATATCTTTTGTTAAATGTTTGCCATGTGCCAATCACTCTGTCATGTAGTTAACATCCTTTCAACAGACTTGTGAGGGAAAGGTATCTGTCATTTCCAGTTTTCTGATAAGAGAGCTAAGGTGCTGAGAGTTTGAAAAACATGTCCAAAGTCCCACAGCTAGATCAGTAGCAAGGCTGAGATTGGAAGGCTGGTTTGACTGAAACCTGCATTCCTAACTACTCTGCCTGCGTTCAGGGTCATAGTTTGGGACATGTTACATTAGACTGTTCTGCATCAGGAGTGACTTGCTACTTTTGAACGACTCAGTGACAAACAACTTTGGTTTCCTTATCTCCTAGATCAAAGCTTTCGTGATTGGAAGGGACCTTTGAAATCATCTAGGTCAACCTGCCTAGTATTTGCAGGCCTTTTGACCAAGTTCCTAGTGGTCCTTTTTCCTCTGCCAGAATGATTCTTAGTGATGGCATGAGAACTATTTATGAGGCAGACAACTTTATATTTGAATACTTCCTTGTGTTGAGCCTTCTAGTAATTTCTGTCTGTTAGTTACTGTGTGACTCTTAGAACAACACTGTTAAGTCCTTTCTTTATTCACACAATAATCACACAGGTGATGGAAGTACAGGCTTACCTGCCCATTCTGTAAACTTTATGTGACATGGCCTTCTGGTTCCCCTTTTCTAAACTCCTTCCAGTTTCTCAATGTCCTTCATAAGATGAGGTATAGATTCCAGATATGGTTGGATTCAAGCAGAGTATGGCAGGACTATTTCTCACCATTGTCTCTGTCCCAGCCATTTCATTGTACTTATTCTCTAGTCAACCAAAGCACATAGGTCTTTCCCCCCAGGCATTGTACCCATCAAAACAATCTCTCTCATGTTGTACTTAAGGCACTTTTAAAAAAATTACTTTTAAATTTATTCCTATTAAATTACATTCTGTTGATTTCAAGTCTCCATTTGCAGTCTGCTGAGTTAACTTTCATCTTAACTCTACGTTTGAACTTCTAGCTCTTCTCACATTGTGTCCTCTACCTTGGTGTAATGGCTTCTGTTTCTTTGTTCAGTTGTTGATGAATGGTGAGAAACATAGATACATTAATTGTAAGTCCTATTCTGTTTCATCAGGCCCACATTTCATTTTGTGGTCTTGAGGAACTGGATTACATACCTAATGAACTCGAGATAGAACACCGTCTATGGTATCCTTTAAATTTCTTGGCCTAATAATCCTATCAAAAAAGAAATGAGGTTACTGTGGATTTCTTACTGAACTCTTGTCATTTCCTATGGGAAACACTTGGCTTTTTGAGAGATCATAGATTCTAATAAGCTTTTTTTTTTTTTAATTTGAGAGACTGACAGTAAGCTTTTCAATATGTGGTTTGGGAATTTCTCTTTTCTTCTTTTATGAAAATCAGAGCAGGATTAATCCTTCTCAAGGCTTTAAGATACTTCTCTCCTTCCTTGCTACTTTTTAGAGATTATTACCTAATTCCGAAATTATATCTGTGTGTTTAAGTCAGTACATTGGATATAATTCTGGACTAGAAGATTTAAATCTATTAAAGCTAATTCTTATGCCCTTGTCACCTAACTTATGTTTTGGTTCTTCTCTAATGATAGCTATTCTACTATCAATTAGTAGAATAGTAAAATAGGTCAATAATTCTGCCTTTTTTCTTGCATTATCTTCCCAATAATAGGGAATTGCTCTAAACATTTATAAAAAGCCATCAGCCTTTTTTTTTTTTTTTTTTTGAGTTCTTCACCCAGGTTGGAGTGCAGTGGCATGCTCACAGCCACTGTAGCCTCAGCCCGCTGGGTTCAGGTGATCCTTCCCCCTTGGCCTTCCAAGTAGCTGAAACTATAGACGCATGCCACCACACCCAGCTAATTTTTTGATTTATTGTAGAGACGAGATCTCACCAGGTTGACCATGCTGGCCTCAAATCCCTGAACTCAGGCAATCCTCTCACCTTCACCTCCCAGAATGCTGGGATTAGGCATTAGCCACTGTACCCGACATTAGCATTTTGACGAGTCTATTCACTCTGGACCTTTTCTTCATTGGGTGTTTTGCAAACAATCATTGTCAACATTTTGTATATTTCCTTTTCATCTCTTTTATGGGAATGGATGTTTTGTTTTTCTTTTTGTAGTCTCACTGTTTTTTCCCTTTTCCACTTGACAGTCTGATCAGCATTTTCCATGTTTCCAATATAGCCTGACATTAGTCTTTTAGATTTATGCCATTCTCATTAGTAATTTCCCTTTTATCAATCTCCTGTATGTCTTCTTTGACGAGTTGTGTTCACCTAAGTTTTGCTGCCTTCCTTTTCCTTGAAATCACTTCTTATCCTCTGAATTACTGTATTTAGTGTCTTTCAATTTTTAAAATAATTCTAATCTGAGATATTGGGATTGGCTCATTTTTCCCTGGATTTTCTTGAATCTGCTTTTATAAAGACTTGAGTTTTATGCCCACTATCTGTCATTCATTGTCTTCTTTCCCTGTTGCAAAATTCAAGATAATACTCTTACCACCCAACTTGTGGTCAACACTCAATAAATGTCCACTTCTTTCTCCCCATTGCATTCTCTTCATGGCCACCTCAGCAATTAGCCTATTCTCACTGGTTGTACATAAGTCTCGAAGCCTTCTTTGTTGCTTTATTTTGAGCACTGACATTGTCAGCAAGATGAGGAAGTGTTGGGCTTTCTCCTTTGGTAGTCTTCCATCAAATCTTGAGCTTAACAAAATTTCCATCTCTAGTGGATCCGGCTGCTGCCGTCAGTTTGGTGCTCTTTTGAGAATGAGCCCTTCTCTCCCAGCTAACTGAGACTAGTTTATCTCTGCAGTGATAATGCTTTTGCATCTCTCTCTCTCTCTCTTTTTTTTTGTGTGTGTCTTTACCTGCTTCTTTTGAGCAAAATTGTCCATTTCCCAGTTGTGATATGTATATGATTCTCTCTAAATTAAAATAGACATCTGAGGCCAGAAGTTTTGCTCCTCACACTCTTTCCTTTTGGCTTCTAAGGTATTTCCTCACCTGTAGGGTTTTGTTTCTTTATGTTGTAGTAATGTTTTGTTAGAACTATGCTATGATGCGCTTGATAATTACTTGTTTTTGTTTGTTTTTTGGTCTTCACTTTCTCTGCTTGTCTCATTTAAGATTAAATTCTTTTTGTTAGATAAGGCATGGTTGCTCATGCCTGTAATCCCAGCACTTTGGGAGGCAGAGGCGAGAGGATTGCCTAAGCCCAGGGGTTTGAGACCAGCCTAAGCAACTTGGTAAGACCTCGTCTCTACAATAAATCAAGAAAAATTAGCCAAACATGGTAGAGCACACCACTTTCTTGGAAGGCTGAGCTTATTGGACTGAGGCTGCAGTGGCTATGAGTGTGCCACTGCAGTCTAGCTTGGACAACAGAGTAAGACTCCAACTAAATATTCTTTTTAGCAGATCAACAAGTCTTTTACTCGATGTTTTCTTCCTGATCTTCTGTCTCTTTCTTCTTCCATTACTAGGTACTCTTCTTGTTTTTTGTTACCTTCTGTGGAGCCATTTCTTTACTTCCCATAGGTTCTATTTCTTCCAAAGTCAGCTTTTAGCTCAAAGAACTGAGAAACCCTCTTCGATTAAATAAACCTTTGTTTTCTATCCTGCATTTGAACTGCTGGTCACTAATAAGGATTTTCTGGAGTTCACGAGTCTTGATGGTATCTTTGTTTTTATAAATCTGTACTAAATCTCTTTATTTAATCTGGCCACACCTACATGGGCTTACACTAAACACATCTCTTATTCTTCAGAATGACAAAACAATTATTAACGTAAATTTTTCTGTAAGTATCCACATGAATTTTAAGTTTGTTTTAAATAGAAGTAATATATAGCATATAAAAACATGCTTGAGAGTAATGGACATTGAACTCTTGCAGAATTACTTCAGAGAAGGAAGGGAGAGAAGGGATGTAGAGAGGTTATATAGGCCCTGGTTCTGTTTGCCTGAGATCTTACAAGGAATTAAATGTAAAGCTAGGTAGTGGATATTAGGTATTTTAAACTTATTTCTCTTTTATTTTTGAGTCAAAGTCTCACTCTGTTGCCCAGGCTGGAGTGCAGTGGCATGCTTACAGCCTCTGCAGCCTCAGCCTGCTGGGCTCAGGTGATCCTTCCGCCTCAGCCTTCCAAGTAGCTGTAACCACAGGCATGTGCTACCATGCCCAGCTGATTTTTTTGATTTATTGTAGACACGAGGTCTTGCCATGTTTCTTAGGCTTGTCTCGAACCCCTGAGCTCAGGCAATCCTCTCGCCTTGGCCTTCTAAAGTGCGGGATTACAGGTGTGAGCCACTGCACTTGACTATTTTATTTTATTTTTTGAGTTGGAGTCACACTCTGTCACCTAGACTGGAGTACAGTAGCACACTGACAGCCACTGCAGCCTTGACCTGCAGGGCTCAGGTGATCCTTCCTTCTCAGCCTTCCAAGTAGCTGGACCTACAGGCGTGCACCACCCCATGCCTGGCTAATTTTTTTTATACGTTGTATAGATGAGATCTTGCCAGGTTATCCAGGCAGGTCTTGAACCCCTGAGCTCAGGCAGTTCTCTTGCCTCTACCTCCCAAAGTGCTGGGATTACAGATGTGAGCCACCATGTCAATTTTAAAAATTGATTTGTAGGATTTTTTTACTCTTGTTTCATACTATAATTTTATGCTTTGACATATTCAGAGCCAGCATCTCTTTTAGAATTGTTTCTGTAATTGCATATTTCTCTTTAATGTACGTTTAAAATTTTTAGAATCAGTTTGTAAAATTCAGTGAATAATCCTGTTGAATTTGGCATTGTTCTGACTGCTACAAGTTGATGGGGAGAGGTATTGTATATTTTATCAACATTATTTGTTTAATCTTTCTGAGCCTAATATACCTGTACTGATTGAAATTATTTGTTTAATACTATTGTTCAGTGATAAAAATTAAAATAGTTTACCCTACTGTTATGTCTCATGTTCTTTTGAAATAGTTGTAGTTTCTCTCAGCATACTTCTTTTCTAAAGGCATGTTATCTGAACTGTTGTAAAGGAATACTGATGGGATGTGCAACAGCAGATCGGAAAATTCTATAATCTTTTCTGTGTCTTGTTTTTCTAGCAATCCCTAAAGTAAGACTGGAGACAATCTACATTTGTGGAGTAGATGAGATGAGTACCCAGGATATCTTTTCCTATTTTAAAGAGTATCCTCCAGCTCACATCGAATGGTTGGATGATACTTCCTGTAAGTTCACCTAAGTTTTCTGTTGAATATGCTTTTGTTGATGATTTTTAAAGAGCTCTTGCCATCAGAGATGGTGAATGATTAAGGCACAGACTATTTTTTAAGACTAACCTCTGTCCTTAGTCTAGAAAAGAAAAAATTGCCACGTGATGAGAACCAGCATACCTTAGCCAGTTTGCCAGTTCATACCCCATGAGTATTCCAAGTCAACTTAGAGATGGCATCTAGGGCTCTAGGAGGTTGGTTATTGGCATCTGAGCCTAGTGTACGTGATTGGGGCCTTTTTAAGGCTCATAATTTTCCAATAAAGGGGTGAATTCAATTGCATAGACTTGGGGCTGCATTTTTAGGGCTTTCAATTTTGTCGTTACTCAGAGGACTGACTCTGCCTCAGTGTCTGTTACAAGAAGTAGGCCAGACTTGCCAGGTGTGATGGCTCATGCCTGTAATCCCAGCACTTTGGGAGGCCAGGGTAGGAGGATTGCTTGAGGCCAGGAGTTTGAGACCAACCTGGGCAACATAGTGAGACCCCATCTCATAATAATAATAATAATATCTCTAATAATATCTGTAATAACAATAATAATAACAACGATAAGTAAAATGAGGTCAGAAAACGAATACTGTACTAGACCTCTCACCTCTGCTTGCCTTGAACTGTGTTTTCTGCTTTTCTAGCCTGTGAGCTGTCCAAGCTTGGGAGCTAACTGTAATTTTTTTTTTTTGAATTGGAGTCTCACTCTGTTGCCTAGGCTGGAGTGTAGTGGCATGCTGATGGCCACCGCAGTCTCGACCTACTGGGCTCAGGTGATCCTTCTACCTCAGCCTTCCAAGTAGCTGGAACTACAGACGTATACCACCATGCCCAGCTAGTTTTTTTATTTATTGTAGAGATGAGGTCTCGCCAAGTTGCCCAGGCTGGTCTTGAACCAGCGGGCTCAGGCAGTCCTCTCACCTCGGCTTCCCAAAGTACTGGGATTAGAGGTGTGAGCCACCGCACCCAGCCTAACTAATTTTTAACTTGCCTCCCTACTTCAGGTAACCCCTGTGCTGTCTTCTTCTTCTTCTTTTTTTAAGATTACAAAATACATTTTATTTAGAAAGTAAATGAGAGAGAGAGAGAGAAGGAGGAGATTCACCTCCCCAAGGTAGGGAAGGGGGCCAAAGTTAGGAAACATGGCCTGGCCATAGCTCAGAGAGCACATGGCCACACCATAGATTAGCAAGGCAATGGTTTGACTTCTTGTCTTGACTCATTTCTAGTCTGGATTTACTTGCTGCCAGCTGGCTGACCTACTGGGCAGTATCCTAGATAGCAGCCTGGTTTTCTCAGCTGCTCTTTTTTTTTTTAAATTGGAGTCTTACTCTGTCTGCCCAGGCTGGAGTGCAGTGGCACATTTACGGCTACCCCAGTGTTGACCTGTTGGGCTCTGGCAATCCTTCTGCCTCAGTCTTCCAAGTAGCCGGAACTACAGGCACATTCCACCATGCCTGGCCAATTTTTGATTTGTTGTAGAAATGAGGTCTTGCCGCCAAGTTGCCTGCGCTGTCTCGAACCAGCAGGCTCAGGCAATCCACTTGCCTTGGCCTCCCAAAGTGCTGGGATTGCAGGCTGAGCCATTGAGCCCAGCCAGCTGCACTGTTAAGAAGGTGTTGCATCAGTGTTTTCATTGAAAGAAGAAACATAACTGAGTAAAAGATTTTTCTCTTTTTCTTTCTACTTAACTTATACTGTCCAAGTCAGGGGTGGACAAACCTTTTTCTATAAAGGGCCAGGTAGTAAATATTTTAGGCTTTGTAGGCCATGTCTTCTCTGTCATATCTACTCAGTTTTGTTGTAGTATCATGAAAGCAGCTATAAACAATACATAAACCTGACTGTTTTCCAGTAGAATTTTATTTACAAAAATTGGCTACATAGTTTATTGTATATTAATTATACCTAAATAAAGCTGGTACAGATAAATAGCAGGTGGTGGGCTAGAACTGGTTTGTGGGTTATAGTTTGCTAACTCCTTGTTTGGGTCATTAAAACTGTAACTAGGCCAGGCACAGTGGCTCACATCTATAATCCCAGCACTTGGGGAGGCCGAAGGGAGAGGATTGCCTGAGCCCATGGGTTCGAGACTAGCCTGGGCAACTTGGTGAGACCTTATTTCTACAGTAAATCAAAGAATTAGCTGGGTGTGGTGGTGCATGCCTATAGTTCCAGCTACTTGGAAGTCTGAGGAGGAAGGATCGCCTGAGTCTAGCAGGTTGAAGCTGAGGTGGCCATGAGCATGCCATTGCTCTCTAGCCTGGGTGACAGAATGAGACTCCGACTCAAAAAAACCAAAAAAAACCCAACTATAACTAAGTTGGAGGAACCCTTAGAATTAATCCAGTTCAGTGGCCTCATACTGTACGTCAGAAACTGAGAAACAGAAAGAAGTTATTTGTTCACAGCCACATGGCATGTTAGTAATATAAATGAGAGTCTTTAGATCTTTATTTCCCAAACTGAGATACGAGGAACACATAATTTTGAGAAAAGTTATTTGAAACAGTTAAAGAGGTTTCTTTTCTACAGGACTTCTCAAAGTCTTTTTCTTGGTAAATTATCTTCCTTAAAGGGACAGTTTTCCTTTTTTCTTTTTTTTGAGTTGGAGTTTCATTCTGTCACTCAGACTAGAGTGCAGTAGCATACTCAAGGCCACCACAGCCTATACTTGCTGGGCTCAGGTGATCCTTCCACCTCAGCCTTCTAAGTAGTTGGAACCACAGACGTGTGCTACCTTGCCCAGCTAATTTTTTTTATTTATTGTAGAGATGAGGTCTTGCCATGTTGCCTAGGCTTGTCTTGAACCTATGGACTCAAGCAGTTCTCTCACCTTCACCTCCCAAAGTGCTGGGATTACAGGTGTGGGCTAACACGCCTGACTAAAGGGACAAATTATATTAATTGCTACAAAGCCAAAGCCAAGTGACTGTACTGACATTATTGTACATATCCCCTAAATATCTTCATCACCCACACTTGACAATCAGGGAACTTCATTTAGCTTATCCAGATGACAAGAAACAGCAAGGGGGTCCCCTGTAGGGGGCAGTAGTATAAAGGATAATTCAAATTTATGTGACAGTTATCATCAAGAGCTGCTAACACTTGCATAGCACTCTCTGTGTTTCAGTTTCATATACAGAACCCTTTTTCATGGAATACTTAATTATTTTGTGGAACCCAGTTTGGGAGTACAACTTAGGCTGAGTTCATCAAAGAGGTTTTGCTACCACTTTCTTTATTTTCATTAGTTGATTTTTGCATTTACTCATGACAGTCTGTAGCTAGATGAGGCTGCAGCAATGAATGTGATGCAGAATCTACTCTCAATAAAGTTACCATTTGGTTGCAATGTAATGTTTTATTTTAGGTAATGTGGTTTGGTTGGATGAAATGACAGCCACACGAGCCCTTATCAACATGAGCTCTCTGCCTGCCCAGGATAAGATAAGAAGCAGGGATGCCAATGAGGACAAGTCATCTGAGAAAAGTAAAAAAGGTAACTGAACACACAGGAGGGAACTTTGACCTGAAAGTGCTGTTCTTTACACAATCCTGTTTTGGGCTTTTGGGTTTCTGAGCAGAGTATTATACAGCATCTCGTCACCAAGCATTTCTGAAATAAGCTATGATGCTCTGGCTCATCAGTTAATAGGATAAAATACTGGACTTTCAACATTATATGAGGTGGCACTTTGGGAGGCAGAGATAAGAGGATTTCCTGAGTCCAGGGGTTCGAGACCAGTCTGGACAAGTTGGTGAGACCTCATCTCTACAATAAAAAAAAAAAAAGCCAGGCATGGTGGTGTGCGGCTGTGGTTCCAGAAGACTGGAATGCTTAGAAGACTGAGACAAAAGGATCACCTGAGCCCAGCAGGTCAAGGCTGTGGTGGCTGTGAGTGTGCCACTGCACTCCAGTGTGGGCGACAGAGAGACTTCTACTAAAAAATAAAATAAAATTATGTGAGATGATTCATCTCATATCTCATAATTATGAGATGGTTCATCTTGTCTCTTACATTCCATTTTAGACAAGCAGGAAGACAGTTCAGATGATGATGAAGCTGAGGAAGGAGAAGTTGAAGATGAGACCTCAAGTGATGTAGAGGTTAGTAATAGGGCAAAGACATATATAAGATTGTGTTGTAAAAATTGCTGTCTTTTTTTTTTTAAGGCTTGAAGACTTGATAAGTTGTATTCTTCCTCTAGCTTTCCCCATTAGACTTTCTGAGGATACACTAGGTTGTTGTTCTTTAAGTTTATGTGGATGTAATGATTTATATTGAGATCTTAGAAGAGGACTCACACTTCTGCATAAAAGAAAATGGTTTTATTGAAAATTGTTTTGAAGTCTTGTCAGTAAAATTCAGAAAAAGCAAGTAATAGCATATTTCCTTATGGATTATGTACTATTATTAGAAATATCAGCATGTATTCATTTAAAAAAATACTTATTGGATACTTTTATATGCCAAATTCTAAAGTGCTAGGGATATAGCATCAAGCAAAACAGTACTGGCCTTCTTGGAGCCTACATTCTAGTGGGAAAGACAGACAATATGCTGATACACAGATGTACTGTGTCAGGAGATGATGAGTGCTTGGAAAAAAGGAAAGAAGGGGTGGGATAGAGAGTAACGGAGACTATTCTTTTAGACAGGGTGGTTGGGAGAGACCTCTGGCTTAGAAATTCTACTGAGGAACTAGTGCTATATTGAGGATAAGGAGTAAAGGTAGCATGCTTTCTTAATGGTGACTTTTACTACTGAAGATGTGAAAAGACTTTAATTTTGTATATAAAATGTTCTCTTTTCTTAAGTTGGACACATTGTCTCAGGTAGAAGAGGAGTCTTTGTTAAGAAACGATCTTCGTCCAGCTAACAAACTTGCTAAAGGAAATAGGTTATTCATGAGATTTGCAACAAAAGGTAAATTTGATCGGTATTGTTTTTTATTTTCAATCAAAATGATTTATTATTTTGAATAGATGTTAGATTAAGTAATCTCAAAATTCCCTTCAAATGATAAAATTCTGTGCCTTTGAAATAATGACTTGCTGCCTGAGTGGGAAATTCTGACTCTGAAATTGAATATTAACTATTTGTATACTTTTATGATTTCTAGCTAAAGTAATAAAACTGGTTTGTCTAGTGTGCTTTCAGCGAGTATCTGAATTATGAAAACTTTTAAAAATTATGCTTTTGATTTATTATAGCAACACCCTCCTGGACATTACTAATATGCCATTCAGTCCTAATTCCCTCCTATAAGACTTTTTATTTTCAATAACTTTTGGTGGGCATTTATTTGTTTATTTTGAGTTAGAGTCTCACTCTGTTGCCCAGGCTGGAGTGCAGTGGCACATTTATGGTCACCGCAGCCTTGACCTGCTGGACTTAGGTGATCCTTCTGCCTCAGCCTTCCAAGTATCTGGAACCATAGGTGTGCACCACCACATCCAGCTAATTTTTTGATTTATTGTAGAGACGAGGTCTCACCAAGTTACCCAGGCTGGTCTCAAACCCCTGGGCTTAGGCAGTCCTTTTGCCTCCACCTCCCCGAGTGTTGGGATTATTGGCATGAGCCACTACTCCTGGCTGGTGAGCATTTAAAAATGTGTGTGTGTATACACACATCTATTCATACTGGTTTTTTGAATCATCTGAGAGTTAGTTGGAGTGACAAACCCTTTACCCCCAAATATTTCAACATGTATTTCCAAAGAACAGGGACATTGTCTTATACACAGCACAGTTATCAAAATCAGGAAATTTAAAATTAATACAATACTATTTCCTAATCCATTGTCCATATTCACATTTCATCAGTTGTTCTAATAATGTTCTTTATAGATTCCCCCCTCCTCCAGGTCTCGGATCCAATCTAGGACTGAGTGCTTAAGTGTGTCATGTCTCCTTGGTCTCCCTTAATCTGGAACTACTCCTCTGCTCCTGTGTTTTTCAAGAGTGTAGAGTGTTTTTAGAGTGTCTGTCAGTTTGGGGTTGTCTTATGTTCCCTCCTAGTAAAAATTTGTCTTGTACATTTGCAACAAGAATCTCACTGAAGTGGTAGTGTGTCATTTACAGTGCATTGAATTAGGAGGCACATGATATTTATATAAAGTTCATCAGGGATGTTAACTTTATTCACTTGGTTAAGATAATAATTGCCAGGTTTTTCCACTGTAAAGTTACTGTTTTTCTGTTTGTAATTTAAAAATTAGTGGGCAGTTACTTTGAGATTATGCAACTAGCCTGTTACTTATCAGACTTTCCTGCAGTAGCTTTAGTATCTATTGATGATTTTCTGTCTGACATTTCTTTATTAGTTGGCAGGCACTCTAAGGAAGTGCTTTCCCTTTCCCTGTTTATTTGTTTACTTATATCAACTTAGATTCATGGATTCTTATTTATGCAGTAGGTTATCATCCATTACTATCATTATTTTGATTCACAAATTATCTTGGATTTGGCCAGTAGAGCCCTTTCAAACTGTATTTTGATGTATTCCATGATTCTTTGAGTACTTTCTTAATGGCAAAACACAACATTTGTTTTTCCAGATTTTGTTTCATTTTGTACTTTGCCTGGTCCAGATCTGGAATCAGCCATTTCCCCAAGGAGCTGGTGGGCAAGGTCTTTTGGACAGGGTGGCAGGGGGTGTACATACTCGTTTGTATTACCATGTTTTCCCACAGTACTGGATACATTTACAGTGGTGTTTGTCCTTTGCATTCAGAGTGCCCAAGGAGCTGTGGAAGGCCTTTATATTACTGCTTTTGATAAATATGTGTGATCACTGACCACTTGTTCTTTCTGTTAACTGGCATTTTAACTTGACAGTTGTGATCTTTACCATATTTACTCAATCTGAGTGGCTGTTTGAGTGCATTCTAGATACATAATACTATGTTGTTTTCTTTAAGCTATTTTGAGGAATGTCACAATAAACTGGAGAAAATGATTTACCAAGTATGTGGAATTATGTATTGTCTGTTTCTTTAATCCTGATTCTGTGTTGTTGGAGTGTTGTTCAGAAGTGAATACCATCTTCCAGGGATGGCAAAAGTGTTACCCTTTTGAGAAAGCTTTTTTTGATTACTGAGTACCTGTACTGACTAAAGCTCTCTTATGCCTCTTGGAAGCGTTATATCTTGTGTTGTTGTTTATTTTAAAATTTTCTCTGTTAAGTCATTCGGCCCCTAAGCAGCACCTTAACCTCACTCATGCGCTGTCCTGTTCACACTGCATTGCCTTTATGGGCACTTAGAAAGTGAATATTTATCTTTCCTTTTGGTTGGCAGTGCGCTGATCTGACCCCAACCATGGAAAACATTCTTTAAAATAATAATAATAATAATTTCACATTGTCTTTACACCCACAGGAAATCCTAGGTAATTGTTGTGATTAATTTTTAGATGACAAAAAGGAACTTGGAGCAGCCAGAAGAAGTCAGTACTACATGAAGTACGGGAATCCAAATTATGGAGGCATGAAAGGAATTCTTAGCAATTCATGGTGAGCCCCAAATCTTAAAATACAATAGTTCAAATAGTTTTCTTAATCCTTCAGTTGATATTCTTCAATGGGATGTCTAAACCTTGTGTTGATGAAAGAAGACAAGAGGGAAGAATTCAAGATTTTTTAATGTGGCAAATGATGTGGGAATGCTGAGTTTCAGTTTCATTTAAAATACCTATTTTGGCACCTAACACTGCGTCAGTGTGTAGTTGATATGAATTAGCGGATTTCAAGGTCCTTCCCCATTAGTTTTTGATTATGTGCTTATTTTGGCAATGTTGCAGGAAGCGAAGATATCATTCCCGTCGCATTCAGCGGGATGTGATCAAGAAGAGAGCCCTGATTGGGGATGACGTTGGCTTGACGTCGTATAAACACCGACATTCCGGTAGTTGCCTGCTCAGCTCTTGGGTAGACACATGTTTGGCTCCCGAAATCATATTTTTATTCTTAATACAGTCTTTTAAGGTTCCAAACTTTATCATCCTCTCTTCCTTGCCCTCACCCTCTGCCAACATATAGGAAAGTAAGTCAAGTCACGATTAATTTTAAGTTGCCCGTACAAAGAGGTCAAATGCTTTTATAAAAGCTGTTCTAACAAAAAGGCCAAATGTGACATAGGAAAAATTAAAAACTTTTTTAGAAACCTAATTTTTTTATTATTAATATCAACAACTGTGTGAAAAAAATTTTTAGGCTATTTTATCAGATGAACTGATTTTATTGTTCCTTTTCTGATAATGAAAATAGGCTGCTGTGTCTTGCTTTATAAAACTTCTTGACTTGTGCACATGAATGCCTCAGAAAAGTGGGATATCATGACTTGGGTTTATCTTTTTTGTGTGCTATTATAAAAGAACCATTTTATTTCTGTTTTATAAAGACTTGTTTTTATTTTGAGCCTAATCTATGGAATCTTCTGTGTGCTTTATAGAACTAGCCAAGTCAGCATACAGAGAAACATACACATGCATTTATCACTGTAATGAGGACAGGAGGAGTGATGTATATAGACATTTTTAATGTGTATATACAAAATTGTATGTTTGAGATCTGCATATTAACAGTACAGTTACACGTTTCCAATTTCAGTTGCTTTTATTTTCAACATATACTCTTTATATCCATGTTAAAGAAATTCAAAAGCAAATTGCCCCTAATGCTAGTACTCTCATATGACAATTGATTTCATCTTAGATTTTTCCCATTTGTATATTTTCACAATAAATATCATAATTTTTGTGAACATATTCCTTTTTTCTGCTTATTCCATTTGTTATTTTTCCATGAACTTTAAGTTACAGTTAATTTTCAGTATTTGTGGTGATTATGTTCCATAAAGTCATCGTGAACATTGAATTAATAAATACTGAACCAGCTGGGCAAGGTGGCTCATGCCTATAATCCCAGCACTTTGGGAGGTGGAGATGAGAGGATTACCTGAGTTCAGGGGTACGAGACCATCTTGAGCAACATGGCGAGACCTCGTCTCTACAATAAATCAAAAAATCAACCATGGTTGCCTGTGGTTCTAGCTACTTGGAAGGCTGAAGTGGAAGGATCACCTGAGCCCAGCAGGTTGAGGCTGTGGTGGCCGTGAGCGTGCCACTGCACTCCAGCCTGGGTGACAGGCTCAAAATAAATAAAAATAAATACTGAACCATACAAAGCCTCTGGTCACACATCAGTTTTGTCAGTTGATCAATATGTAACCTTTTTTTCAACACATATTTCTGTTTAAAGATACCTTATATAATATATATTGCTGATTCATTAACGTTGAACTCATGGCTATTAGCAGTGTAACTCAGGCCTGAACGAAGCTTACCTGACACATGTTTTCTCCGTAAGGCACATCACAACCTTCTGGCATGTAGGAACACCAGGCAGTTCTTTTAACACTATACTTGAGGGCTGTTTTAAACAGTGAAATCATGAACAAAAAGCACAAAAGTGTGACAAATACATTCAATAGACTGAAGAGAACTTGTTTATAGTATGAGATGAAACAAGAAGGCAGAGTGTTGCTCTGCTGGACCTTAGCTAGGAATGTGTGTTTCTGGTGACTCAAATTTTTTTGCTGCTCTGCTTGTGTCTGCAAATGACCATGAAAGCATTGCAAGTATTGATTTTGGATTATACATAAATTTGGCAGATTTGCAAGTATAAAATCTGTGAATAGGCTGGGCATGGTGGCTCACATCTGTAATCCTAGCATTTTGGGAGGCTGAGGTGAGGGGATTGCTTGAGCCCAGGAGTTTGAGACCAGCCTCGACAATGTAGCGAGTCCTTAACAACAAAAATCTGTGAATAATAAGGATCAGCTGTATTTTAAATAACTTTATAATATTTCATTAGGCTACTGCATTATATTTTACCTAGCCATTCTCTTGTAGTATCAGTAGTGTCCAGTTTGGCACTATTATAGATAGTGTGCCAAAAAAATCTCAGGGATGGGAACCTCATCTTTTAAAAAGATCACTGATATAGAGTAAAAGTCATACTTGTTAGTTTTAGTGTTCTAATGTTTTTGTTAAATTTCTTCAGGACTAGTGAATGTTCCTGAGGAACCCATTGAAGAGGAGGAAGAGGAGGAGGAGGAGGAGGAGGAGGAGGAGGAAGACCAAGACATGGATGCAGATGACAGGGTGGTGGTGGAGTACCATGAGGAGCTCCCAACTCTCAAGCAGTCTCGGGAGCGGAGCGCATCTAGGCGTTCCAGCGCCAGCAGCTCAGACTCAGATGAAATGGACTATGATCTAGAACTGAAAATGATTTCCACTCCTTCACCAAAGAAAAGCATGAAAATGACGATGTATGCTGATGAAGTGGAATCTCAGTTGAAAAATATTAGGTAAAAGAAATCAAATACTTGCTTTTAATTTGATTTTTAAATACTAGTTACTGCTTCTTAATTTATCTAATTTTATATCTTTTATCCTAATTTTAGTCCTTTGTAGGAGTTGAATAAAAGCACCCAATTCTTTTCTCTATACAAGCAGTGATCCTTGTTATAAAAATTATAGAAAATATAGCAAGTAAAAGCCACCTGTATTCTTACTCTTTCTTGACAATAACAACTGTTAGCAATTGAGTGAATAACATTTCAGCTCTTTTATGTATATATATTATGTATTTATATAAATCACATGGAGAAATTATAGATATGTTTGTATAAAAATGTAATTTTTATAAAAATGTTATGCTGTTTATATTTTGTATTGTGCATTTTTATTTAATATATATTAGACAGTTTTATTTTTTTAACTGTATGTATTCCGTGGTTTGAAAGTATCATTTATTTAGCCAATCCCTTTTTGATGGACATTTAGGACATTATTTTCTTACTATTGCACTAACTAAATTCTGCAAAGCCAGTTATTGTGCAGAACAGTATACATGTTTAAAAATGTAGTAAGTATTGTAAATTTCTTCCAGAAGAGTTTTAATCACTCACATTACCACCTGTTACCTCTAACCTCACTAACCTTATCTACTGTCGTTCTTTCTAATCTAATCTTTAGTAGTTTCATGAGCAACAAAAAAATAGAGTTACTTTAATGTGCATTTCTTTGATTACTAATAGGGATGAGCAGATTCTGTGTGGGCAGATAGTGTATCTGCAATTCTAAGAGTTACAATCTCGGGATGCTCTAAGACATTCTCAGTGTATTTGGGGAGAAGGGAAAAAAAAAACATTCAAGCTGATTTGCTCATTTTTTTTTTCCAAGTTCTTATTTTTGGTTTTCAGAGGACTTTCTGATAGAGAATGCTGCTAGAATAATACTGGTACCTAGCATGGCAGTAGATTTCTTTGACACATAATTTAGTCTCGATTGTGATTTGGCTGTAGTCAAATCACAGCTTTGGTGAGCAAAAGCCTCAGGCTCTTTGCAGTCCTCTTACTTAAGGTTTATTCCAGGAAAGGGGGACTTGTAGTTACATGCTCTGTGATAGCTTACACATATGTGTAGAAACCACCTTGGAAAATTCAGGAACGTGCTCGTCCTGACCAGTCTCTTTATAGCAGGTGGAGCATGGTTTTCATAAGCAAATAATTATCAGTGTATGGTATTTGTGAGCGAGTGTTGGCCATATTAGATAGGGTTTCTTACATTGTTTCCTCCAAAGTATGAGATTGTTGCTTGGGCCTTGTCTCTTAGTTGAAATTGATTAACTGTGTCTCCTATCCCCTTTTAAAGGAACTCCATGAGGGCAGATAGTCTATCCTCAAGCAATATCAAAAACCGAATTGGTAACAAATTACCACCGGAGAAATTTGCAGATGTCCGACATTTATTAGATGAAAAACGTCAGCACTCACGTCCACGGCCACCAGTCAGCAGTACTAAATCAGGTATTCTTCTTCAGTTGTATTTCTGGGTTTCATTCTGAGCTCTGGAAGAAAGATTGGGGCAGGGATAGGTTCTTGGATGGAACATTGCCATTTGGGAACTGATTTAGTTGTCCTGGTTTCATCATGTCTAAATTTGGGATTAGGCATTGGGATTCAGGACATGAATTTTCTGATTTTGAAAAATAATCAAACTTTTGCAAAACTAGCTTTGAATATTTTTGTCCCAAGCAATTAGAGTCATCCCTCAGTATCTGTGAGGGATTGGCCAGGATCCCCCTCTACAGATACCAAAATCAGCAGATAACAAAATCTATAGATGCTTAAATCCCTTATATATCATGACTTATTATTTGTGTATAACCTACACATATCCTCCTATATACTTTAAATCATCTCTAGATTATTTAGAATGCGAAATACAATATAGTTGTTATTCTATATTTTAAAAAATCTGTAATATTTTTATTGTTGTATTTTTTTTTCAAATATATTCGACACACAGTTGGTTGAACCTGCAGATGTGGAACCCATGGATAAGCAGGGCCAACTGTATTTTACTCTGTATATTGCTGATACAGTTTATACACAAGGATAATAGAAGTGAAATTGGGTGGTTGTATAAATGATCAATACTTTGAACTAGATTATTTATACATGCAAGCACTCATTCAGCAGGTATTTGGCTATGCCTTCTATATGCCACACTCTGGGCTAGGTGCTAGGACTGTTAGAAATCTTTGAAGGGATACACATTCGTCATAGATCTACTAGGGAAATTTTGGAAGGCTTCTTGGAGAAAGTGGCTTTGAGAGCTAGGCCTTGGAGAGGGAAGAAGACCTCAGTTGGCATACCTGAATTTTTAGATGGGAAGTAGCCTGATCTTATATATCTAATTTAGAGAGATAATTTGGGGATGGAATGAGGTGAGATAGAGTTAAGTAAGTAACAAGAGCCTGACTAGGTCAGGGACAGTAGAGACAGTGGGTGAGAACAAGACATCTTGTGAAGGAAGACTGCTGGGACATGAAGGAGGAAAGGGAGAGAAACCAAGGGTCTCAGGCCTGAGTGTCTGCAGAGATGGGGATGCTGCTCTCTGAGAGAATTTAAGTGACATGGGCAAAAGGCCCGGCACAAAGTCTTATTGAATGTGTTTCTGCTGTGAATTAGAGGGAACTCAAGAGGACAGGCAGATTTCAGGGCAGATTGGGGACTGAAGGAAAAACAAATTTGGTTGGAGACATCTTACCTTGATCTTGTGCTTTTTGCCAGTCTCATTGCATTTACTGGTTAAGTGTAATACGTTTATTGAGAACTACTTATATGTCCGAAGGAAGCTTATGGTATTGTTTATTAGCTGAAATTTTTGTAAATTATGTAGTCAGCTTGGTTCTACCAAAAAAGTGTTGTTTTCGCTTCAGAAATTTCTTTCTGGAGCAGTCAGCTGAGTTTTTTTCCCTGTTAGTCCCTACTTTTGGATTTTCCTTGGGGAATCCATACTGGTTATGAAGAGAAAAGAATCCTGATTGTGTCAGGCCCTGTGTCCTAACTTGGGGACAGTTGGTATCAGATCCTTTGGAGATCTCAGGTCAACAGTATAAAGAATGCTTTGTCACAGTAGTACTTATTTTCTTTTTTCAGATATACGCCAGAGGTTAGGAAAAAGACCATATTCTCCAGAAAAGACTTTTAGCAGTAACCCTGTTATTCGGAGAGAGCCTTCTTCTGATGTACATAGTAGGTTAGGCGTTCCCAGGCAAGATATTAAAGGCCTCTACTCTGATACCCGGGAGAAGAAATCAGGTTGGTAACACTTAAAACTAATGGGAATGGGAAGAGGGTGAGAGCAGAGGATACTGGTGTAGCAGAGAAATAGCTTCTTAGCATAAGGCGGGAAGTAGCACATGCCAAAAATAAATGATTTTTCATTATAATTATTGTCGTTGTCGTCATCAACATCATAAAGCTAACAGTAAGGAAAATTTAGAAAATTGAAGGGAAAAAAGGCACACCCTTGGTTCTGTTTAGTTTCGTATGTGCTATTCCAGTCTTTGTCCATTACATATCCTACTTTTTAATATAGCATTTTATTGTAATCATTTTGTCCCATTTTATATTATTTTATATTATTTATTTATATATCATAAATAAAGCTTTTTTTTTTGAGTCAGGAACTCACTTTCACGCAGACTAGAGTGCAGTGGTATGAACATGGCTCACCGCAGTCTTGACCTCCTGGGCTCAAGTGATTCTCCAGTCTCAGCCTCTTAAGTAGTTGCAACTACAGGAATATACCACCACACCTGACTAATTTTTTTATTTTTTGTAGAGACGTTGCCCAGGCTGGTCTTGAACTTTTGGGCTCAAGTAGTCCTCTCATCTCAGCCTCCCAAAGTGTTGGGATTATAGACATTACCCACTGTGCCTGACCCATAAATAAAACTTTTACTTGCCTCATAGTGTGGCTATACTAAAAATTCTAAACATATTTCTCTGTTTTTAGAGTTTCTTTTTTTTTTTGTTTTGTTTTGTTTGAGTCAGAGTCTCACTCTGTTGCCCAGGTTGGAGTGCAGAGGTGTGGTCACGGCTACCGCAGCCTTGACCTGCTGGGCTCAGACCATCCTTCTGCCTCAGCCTTCCAAGTAGCTGGAACTATATATAGGTGAATGCCACCATACCCAGCTACTTTTTTGATTTATTGTAGAGATGAGGTCTTGCTGTGCTGCCCAGGCTGGCTTTGAACCTGTGGGCTCAGGCAATCCTCTTGCCTCCCAAAGTGCTGGGATGACAGGTGTGAGCCACCGTACTGGCCAGATTTTTATTAAATAGATTTTAAAAAATTAATGGATAATGAGTAGACACTGACAGTTTACAGTGTTAAAGGCTCATCAGTTTGCAGAATGTTAGAGCTAGAAAGGATCCAGGAATGACCCAGAGTGAAGTAGCACAGGGTAGTGTCTCATCAGGGAGGGGCAGGAGGAAACAGCCTCTCAGGTGACTCTGATGTGTCTGGAAGAGGGTGGGAGTGGGGGTGGGGAACACGATACGCCCTCAATAGTAATAATTTCCCCCTGGGTTCAGATCCCTCTGTTTGCAGGAAGGGGGCTATAACCAGGGATGTAGATTACCCACCAAAGGCTGCACAGTGGTTGCAAGTGCCACGACTACTGGTGTTTCCTGCACAATAGGTGTTGGCAGTGCCCTGCTTCCTCAGTATTACCCTGATTCTCAATGTTGACTGTGAAACTGAAGTGCTTTCTCACCCAAACAGGTAGTTTATGGACTCGCTTAGGATCTGCACCCAAGACCAAAGAGAAGAATATGAAGAAAGTGGATCACAGGGCACCTGGCACTGAAGAAGATGACTCTGAGCTGCAAAGGGCGTGGGGGGCTCTGATTAAGGAGAAAGAGCAGTCTCGCCAAAAGAAGAGCCGGTTAGATAACTTACCATCTCTCCAGATTGAAGTTAGTAGGGAAAGCAGCTCTGGTTCAGAGGCAGAGTCCTGATGCCCTGGGGCCTATGGCAGCTGCCCTAAAGCCTGGCATTCTTGCACAGGGTGGGGTGCACAGTAGGAACCTCCCCTGCAGGAGTTGGCGCCCTCTCACTCCTACTCATCCAATCACCCTCAGCTCTTGCTGCTTCAGCAAGACATCTTAGGAATGTGAGGAGTTTTGAAGGGCATCTCTCTATCTTTTGCTACAGAGTTATAGTTCTGGGCCCTCAATTATTTTCCCACCCCACAAGCTTTACCCTTTGAGAAAAAGGCCACCCTCCAGATTTTGTAGACGTTTTCTTAATATTTTTAACATTGTGTCTTTTAAAAAGAAATGTTTTACACAGTTCATCCAAAGAGCAGAGAACTGAACTTCTCACTATTGCCTTGGCCCTGACAGCTGTTACCAGCACCCTTTTCCCAAGAAAAGTCAATTCCCAGGTGCTTATTGGACAGCCTTCGAGGGGGAAGATGAGGGAAGCGGCCAGCTCACACTTCCGGGACCCTAGTATGGGGGCGAATCTCATGGACCTGACCTCAGAGGTGCACCAGTGCCGCCCAGGTAGATAAGAGATGCAGCATTGATTGTGCTTCCGTTCTTCCCTCGGGAATTTCTAATGTTAGGGGCCTCTTATTAGTTGATCAACTTGATGTGAAGATCAAGTTCAGTTTTGTGGGATTTTTAGGAACAAAAAAACTGTGACTTCTGGATTTGGGATTGATTTTTGTGCTAGGGGTGGGGTCATGGTTAATGTTGAACAATTTTTAAGTGTGTGTTATGTTTAAAGATATTAATGATTTCAAAGTTTAAATTTTTAATTTTTATATGTGGAAATTCTTCCTGTTGGCTACAGGGGAAGCTCAAGTGGTGTCTTCTTTTGTGCTGTTAAATATATATTATATACTTTGGAAGAAGGCAAAGAGAGGAGTCTCATTATTTTTAAATGCTCCTAACTGTATAGTCTGTTGTACATAGAGTTCAGTTTACTTTTTGGCCACAGTAGGAAAAAAATCCATCCGTCTGAGATGGGGTCCTGTTGTTTATAATCACTTTAGAAGTGATACATTGCTATTTATTCTTTTTATCTCCAAGTTGTGGCACCTGAAGCCTTCTTTAAAATTGGCAGATAAAATTATATTTACAAAAATTTTAGTTAGGTTTTTTGTTTGGTTTTTGATGTTGTTTTTTTGAGTCAGTCTCTTACTCTATTGTCCAGGCTGGAGTGCAGTTGCATGCTCATGGTCACTGCAGCCTCTACCTGCTGGGCTCAGGCAGTCTTTCCACCTCAGCCTTCCAAGTAGCTGGAACTACAACAAGTGTGAGCCACCACATGTGGCTAATTTTTAAAAAAAATTTATTGTAGAGACCAGTTCTTGCCAAGTTGCCCAGGCTGGTCTCAAATCCCTGGGCTCGGGCTATCCTCTCACCTTGGTCTCCCAAAGTGCTGGGATTACAGGCATAAGCCACTGCGCCTAGCTAGTTCATTTACTTTTAAACTCCTTTCAGAATTTTTTCCCACAAGAAGGAGGCATATTATTTTATTTTCCTGTCTGATTTTTATTTTGAAGGATTTAATTTTTTATTCCTCTGCAGTCTTAAAAAATAGTGTTTCACTTCAGCTCACTAGAACTCGGAAGTTGGAGATAGTAATAAGCCCTTGTCCCTTTTGTCTCTCTTCACCTGCCTGGAGCTTTCTGCACCCAGTGCAGCCTGCATTGTAGAGATCTTTACTTATGGCTGAACTGATGGTTATATTGATAGTTGATTATACTGTGGTGCGAATGAACACAGAACTCTGTTGTTAATAAAGGAAGTAAAGGGCTGTGAGACTTTAGGGCTGCAGTAAAAAAGTCCCCTATTTTTCTTGTTAACCTGCTTTTTCTCTCTCTTTAGACAGATTAGAGCATGTAACCATGATATGTTTCAGCTTCCTAATAGGATTTTAGGAAAGAAGTGGTTCTGGTTTCTCTGTCAGTTGAGACCTAAGGTGTCTGTGGTTTCTCAGCTCTTGCCCTGTGATGCACACAGCTGAGAGCCAGATGCTTGTGGGAGGAATCAGAGTTTGGGGAATTGGTAGAGTGAGAAATGTAAGGGCTTGAGAGGCAGATACCTGGATGCCAATCTCTGTTTCGGCTCTATGGACCTGGACCTCAAGTTCCCCATCTAGCAAATGAATAGACTGATACCAGAACTCCTGGTTTTGTTGGTATGTTTCAGTGGCATTTTACTCTTCCCAAAACTGACTGCAGTGGGCTGGCCAGCATTAGTTTCTGTTGTAGGTAGATGAAGGGTCAAGGAGACAACTGAGGGTATGTGCAAGGTTGTGGACAGGGACATATCCCCATCCCTTTACAGTCTCTGGTTCTACTAGTGGGGCAGAGATGTCCTGTGGTCAGGGTTCCAACCAGTATGGTCTCTGCAGGGTTTAGCATATGCCCCTTCGTAGACTTTCCTTTTTGTCTCCCAGTCATGACCCTTTCCTACCAGTAGTTCAGGCCCATTTGTCACATGACCTTTCAGCACTCATCAGTCTCCTGCTGGATGTCAGGGCAGATATTCTGGAACAGCGTAGTGTACAGTCAAAATTGACTCTTTGATCTAACCAAGAAAAATGCTCACTTCAGCAGCCTTGCAGTTCTTACAAATACAGAGAGAGAACCCAGAAAGGTACGTTTAAAGATGTCATTTCCCATTTATTGGCCTCATGCCTCGCTCACTCTCCAGCTTACACTCAGGCACTCAGGTTTTGCAGCATCCTGAGTGTGCCCTGAATTATTAGGAATATAGGAAGGACAACGGAGTCAGGACACTGCTTTTACCCTGGATGCTCCCTGTACATATGGGAAGCAGGACAATATACTTTTTGTATTCCTCTTAGTCCTTATATGTAGATTTTAAGTACCTTTTGCTGCTTGATAATAATTGCAGATACCTCATTTGTTTCCCATTCTCCATCCTTGGGGGAGTACCAGGTACCCAGGAGAACTTGTATAACTCTTTCCCCCTGGCCTCTTCTAGTCTGATCCCCTAAATCCTTTTCCCTAGTTCAGCCTCTGTCCATCTGTACAGCAGCCTCTTGACTGGTCTCTGCCCTGCATCTCTCCAGCCAGGATGAACTTTTGTTGTTGTTAACTTAATTAAAATATAATTTGCATAGCATACTGTCCACCCATTTAAAGTATACACTTCAGTGATTGTTAGTATATTTACAGAATTATGCAACCATTGCCATAATCAATTTTAGAACATTTTCCTTACCAAAAGAAATCCTATTCCATCATCAGTCACTCCCCATCCTCCTCTCTACCTAGCACCTGGCAACCACTAATCTACTTTGTCTCTGTGGATTTGCCTATTCTGGACATTTGATTTAAATGAAATCATACACTATATATCTATTTGTGACTGGCTTTTTCACTTAACATATTTTTGAGGTTCATCCATGTTGTAGCACATATCAGTACTTAGCTTTTTTAAAAATTGCTGAATAATAATCCATTGTATGGATATGCCACATTTTATTTCTCATTCATCAGTTAATGGACATCTTGGTTGTTTCTACTTTTAGCTGTTTCAAATTATGTTGTTGTGAGTATTCATCTCCAAGTCTTGCATGTACCTGTGTTTTCATTACTCTTGGGTCAATAGACCTAGGAGTAGAATTGCTTTGATGTATGGTAACTGTCTTTAACCTTTTGAGGCTTTTCCACACAGCTGTATAATTTTCCATTCCCACCAGCAATGTATGAAGGTTCGAATTTCATCTTTTTTTTTTTGAGTAGGTGTCTCACTCTTGCCCAGGCTGGAGTGCAGTGGCACACTCACAGCCACCACGGCCTGGTGGGCTCAGGTGATCCTTACACCTGACCTGGTGGGCTCAGGTGATCCTTACACCTCAGCCTTCCAAGTAGTTTTAACCGTAGGCACGTGCTACCATGTCCAGCTAATTTTTTGATTTATTGTAGAGACAAAGTCTTGCCAAATTGCCCAGGCTGGTCTCGAACCCCTGGACTCAGACAGTTCTCTTGCCTCTACCTCCCAAAGTGCTGGGATTACAGGCGTGAGCCATCACACCTGCCTAATTTCTCTGCATCTTTGCCAACACTCATTTTCTGGTGTGAAGTACTATCTCATTGTGCTTTTAGTTTGCATTTCCCTAATGACTAATGATGTTGGGCATCTTTTCATGTGCTTCAGGACTGAACTTTCTTAAGTATGAATGGATCCTGTTATTTCTCTGCTTGAAACCTTTCCAAAGTTCCATTGCCCTTAGAATAAGTTCCGGATGTCTTTAATAGCTTATAAGACTAGTCAGGCATCCTCTGGGATTCTCTCTGACCTGTTTGCCCCATTCTCCTGCCCTCTGCTCACTAGTTCTCTGGATCCAGCTTGATCTCACCAGCCTTCCGGACTCTGTATAATGCTGTTCCTACCCCCATTGACTTTCCCCAGTCCTTTCCCCCTCCTGCCTCAACTTTGCCTTCCTTTTCCTCCTTATCCACAAGGTCTTGGGGGCCCTTCCAAGATGCTGTTCCCAACTTTCAGAGTCAGGGTATGAGCCCCTTCTATGTGTCCCACGGTACTGCCACAAAGGAGTCTTGACTCACTCCAGGATTAGGTTATAAGGTCGGCGCCTAAGATAAAAATTGAGTGTAATTAAAATTCCTCTTGGAAATCCCAAGGAAGGTGTTATATGGAAGACCAGCATCATGAGGTCCTGTGTAGTCACTCCTTGCCCACATGGGAATAGATTCACTGTTTCAGGTGAAGTGATTGGCCTACAGTTAGGGCCATGTTGTGCAAAAGTCACTTATTTTAGATGTTAGAACCATACTTAGGCGAGAAGGTCACTTGAGCCACAGGAGCAGCAGAGGCACAAGCTTACCCAGTCCCTCCCCTTGTCTGTGCTCATTGTGTGAAGGAGTGACAGTCACAATGGCCCAAATTTACTTACACTTTTTTTTTTTAACTTTTTCAGACAAATACCATTGTGTTTAAGTGATATGTGTGTATAATGCCAAATCACTGTACTCCCAACCCAGCATACCTATACACTGGACTGTATTTTCTGTTCCTAATTTGTTTTACTAGACTGTAAGCTCTGTGAGAGCAGGGACCACATCTGGCTTGTTCATTGGGGGCTTCCCCAGTGCTTACTACCGTGGTTGGCACTAGCAAGTCCCCCATAAACATGTAATATGTTGTAAATCCCTCAACCTCAGGATGAAGCAGGGGCCTTCTTGCAGACTAGTCCTCATTTTTCTGCCATGTACATATAACACTTTATTTTCATGTTTTATTTTTCTTTTTAGCCTGTGAGCTCTTAATGAGCAGGTGTCTCTATGTTGTCATCTCTGTATCCTCTCTCCAGGCCAGCCTAGAGTAAGTAGCGATTCAAGAGGGTTTGGTAAACTAATGGATTATGGTAACCCAGCCCAGCTCTGGCACTGCTGTCTGCAGGCCAGTCTAATTCTAGATGAGACCACCAGATTTGAAAAATGGAAAATTATTCAGAGGTGCATACACTATGCTTGCATAAGAATAAAATCTTATGAAATAGACCTGAGAAAACTTCAAATGTTGATGATCTGACTGTATCTAAGCAGAAGCTTAGCCAACTCTATAAAGAGTTTGTTAGGTAGTCATGCATATAGTCCAGAGTATTTTTTAGTAAAGCATTCATTTGCTGCAGCATAGGAGGAAAGGGGCTGGCAGATAGGTGAAAGGCCCCAAAGAAGGACTACTGAACCAGTTTTCAGCCTGTGGTCTTCTTGGTGAGAAAAGTAACCACAGTCCAAAGCAGTGAAAAGAACTAGTACTCGTTCCCAGCAGCGGCTCTTTTGCCTAAAGCAGCATTCCTCACTCTTCTCACTCGGAGCAGCAAGTCGTGGTGAAATGCAGCACACACTTT